CCCGTGTGGCTGTTTTCTGCCAATGGCAAGGCTTCATTTTGCCCGTTCTGTGGCAACCTTCCCCTCCATCCTGAGGAGCTATAAATAGAGGTTAGCAGGATATCCTTCCCAGTAGTTCTCCAGCAGTTACTGGAGCTCAGGATCCCCAGTGAGTCTCCATGTGCACGGAAAAGGAGAAGGACATGACTACCAGCATCTGGCTCGAGTCTCTTGCCTCTGCCCTGAACTTGTTTCCAGGTATATTGGAAGCTGGGACATTCTGGTAGAGATTCCTGGTAAGAGAAGTAGAGAGACAAGCGGCTTTCCAGGAGATGTGCTGGCCAAAAGAGCCCTGCACTGATCCTGAAAGCTGTGTTTCCAAAGCACATGAGTAGAAAACAAAACTCTATTCTGTGCACTTGCATGATGTCATTTTCATATGAGTATCTTTTGTGAAGATGTTTCTCCCCAGTGATTCTGGATTTGTGAATGGTCTTTCTAGGCCACAGAGGTAGCTTAGTTGATGAAGTGCTATTGAGCTTCATTGCATGGAGGTCATATCTGGTCAAATTCAAATCTCACTTTATTTTCCAAAGAGTGCAGCCTGACAGCTCTGGATGTTATAGTGGTCTCCTACCTTCAGCAGCACCTAATACTTGCTGTGCTTCACAGCTGCTGGTCAAGCTTTTAAAACTTGCATTGATCCTCTGAGAGACAGCTTAGCAACAGATTCTTCTCCTTCCCTTAAGGAAGAACGAGGACCTGAAGAGGAAAAGCAGCAGTGACTTTTATAGGGGATGTATAGAGCTGACAGAATTCCTTTTAGAGGTCTGGTCATGCATTACAATAAAGGTGTTTTGTTAACAAAATAGTGCAATATCTGTGCTTGTTGGTCATGTCCTCCAGGATCCTTTTGTTTCTGTCAGGAACAAGCAACTGCAGTTATGTCTGTAAGTCACTGGGGGTTGGCTGGATCAGGTGGTTTCTGAATGCATTAGTGTGAAAAACAGAGTTCACTCTTCAGAATTTTTAAAAGTTTGGTAATGGACAGTGTCCAGCACAGGGGTGTTTCTGGCCATCAGCCAAAGAACACACCGGTAGATCAAGACAGTGTTATCTATATACTGTTACATTACTGAGGTCTATACATATTTATGTGTTTCATACATTATTCAAACATTCTTGGGAGTTTTGGATGTTGCAGAAGCTCTTTTGTTTGGCCTTACATGATGACTTATCTGCATGACATCCTGTAGATCAGGTCAATATATTTTATTCCTTCATCCTGTTGGTTCGCACTTCCCTGAAAACGAGGAGTTAACAAGTTCTTCTCCAACTCTGGTTTGTGTCACTGTTATCACTTGGAGAGGTCGGTCAGCAGATGCAGGAAAAACAACATAATTGCTTCACACCTCTCCCCTAGTTACATAGAAGCATTTTAACATTTGGTGTTTTGCTAAGGCTGGCAATACAATACATTTATCACACCACTGTTTCTGTAAGCTGTACGGTGCATACGTGGCTATAATACATTCATCACACGACTATTTCTGTGAGCTATAGGGTGCAAAGCTCATAGATTGTGTTACACTAATGAGCAGCTAAAAGGAGTCACAAATTGTACTGGATCCAAATCCTTCTGGTCAATAACAACATGTGAAGGCTAATACAGAAATGCTAAAGGCAGTATCGTGTTGTTATTTTTAACTATTAATAAAATGCATTCCAAAAGACAGTGAGTTGATGTAGAGTACTGCCTGTGCATGGAGCCTGGTTGGGGAAGGGTTGTTGGACACCTAAGGCATGTTGGAATGGTTGAGAGCGTGTTAGACTGCTCTGGAAATTGGAGAAGGGGAGGTTGAAGGAGGTGTCCTGATAATGACCTGGGTGCTTGATATCCACTAATCACTAACCACTGTCTGTTTCAGTAGCTCGTGCTCCTCTCTGTGCAGCTGCTGTGCTCTGGGGTTTGTTTAGTCAGTATATAAAATGGGCTCGTGGCTCTTTATTTGTAAATAAAGACACCTTTTTATGGCACAGACACTTGAGCAAGAGGGCAAAGCCAAGGAAGCCAGTTCAAGTCCTAAAAGGTGCTTTTACTGTGTTATCTCACACTTAAAACAGATAGACTTAAGATCATACATCAAACTGGGTAAATTTTAAAATAGCAGTTCTCCCCTTTACTTCAAACCCCACTGGTTCTCAGGTTTCCACGTAAACTAAACCATCAAAGGGTATTAATTATAGAATGAGAGAAATTAATGATTTGCTGCTCAAAAGACTGAGGAGTGAAGGCCATCAGTGCCTTGTGCCATTCCCTGCCCCTCTGCAGGGGCTCCTGGGCTGGAGCAGGGGCACAGTGGGAGCTGGAAGGTCTCTGTTCAGCCCTCCCCATGTGGAGCTCCTGTACTTCACACTCAGTTTGTATCTGGGGACAGTCACTCTGTGCTTCCCTTTTGCTGTACTACCATGATTTAATAGCCATTATTAGCCTGAAATTGAGCAGGTGAGTTTTCTGCCTTTTACATCCCTGGCTTTATAGATACTTTACTGTGTACTTCCATCCTGCTGGGAGAAGCACCCAGAAATATTCTTAAATCCTTACTTTGTATTGTGGCTTGAGTTTTATACTCTTGAATACCTCTACTTCTTTTGTATCAACATCCTGTAAACATGCAGTCAGGGGCCGTAAAGCAGAAAGTAATTTCTAGCAGGTCACAGCATTCCAGGCACAGGCTCCTGTTGTGAGGCAGGACTTTGGAAACCTCTCAAGCAATAAAATTTTCTTTGTCTTTGTTACATACATCACTTTTTTATTTTTTTTTTGTAAATTGAGTGTGTTTTTCTGTCAAAGTTGTTCCTTGAGCTGATTATGTCATCCTTTGAGAAACTGGGTTTATTATTGTGAAACAGCCCTCTAAAAATAGTGGTCGGGTGACTTTTGTATGCTGGGAAACGTGTGTGGAAGAAGATCCAGGTGTATTTGAATTAATGTAACAGGAAGTACCTGGGTGTCTTCTGAGCAGCTCCCCTTTCCAACAGGGAGAAGCCACAAGGAACTAGAAAGGGAGTTTAGCTGTACCCATCTCTAAAACACAGTGTTGACACATGTAACTGATACTGAGAATTACATAAAAATTGGCTATAAATAGTTATTTGGTGTTCTAAGATCTTAGGTAATTTTAGAAAAGGAGCAAAATTCTGAGGTAAAATTCCAAGAGATGATTTGGGGGGATGAAAGGAGCAGGATGGACAGATATGTAAGTAGAGAGAGAGAGAGAGAGATAGATAGATATGCACACTCATGTATATGTGCCTTTGTTCTCCCTAGCATTTTATTTGTCCTTGGGTTTGGTTTTTTTCCTGTGTTTCCCCCAGTTGCAATGCCCTGCTTGGGATACTTTTAAGACACTTCTTTTTATTTTTTTCACTGCACTCATTCATTTCTTGTCACCTTGGGCCCTGCTCTGAGCTCTCCCAATTTTCTTGGGGTCTCTCTTCGTGTTCCTGAAATACAAATGCCAAAGTGGTGCTTCCACACCAGCTCCTTTGTTCTTTTTCTGTGGGACTGGATCCCTTCCCGGAGAACCAGTTGCTTCTTCGTGGGTAAAGGAGGGGATATGGAGTGCCTGTTGTAACGCTGGTTCTTTTTCTTCCTCCTCCATTTCACTTTTTGAGCCTTCTGGTGGTTTGTTTGTGGGTGTTGAGGTTTGGATTTTCTTTCCCCCCCTTTCATTATCTCTTAAAACAGATTTTCCTGAGTTTTAATAATAGCACTGGCTTTGTTCATCCAGAGTCTCTGCACTTACTCTAAAGCACTTAAGTCTAAATTGAAAACAAGATATTTTTTTTTTAAAAAAAAACCACATCAGCTCACAGACCCTTCTCTCCTTCTGTCTTTTATCTGGCAGTTTTTATTTGTCCATACTGTGATTTCTCAGCAAGCAGCGAAGTTTGCTGAAGTATCTCTTACAGCTGAAATGGCTTTAAAACCCCAATGTTCTGGCACAAGAACTTGCATTTTGTAGGGATGAATAATGAAAAGTCATGGTCTTGTGTTGGTGCTGGAAAAGGGATGTGGTGTGGCTACCACTGTCTGGAAGGACAGTTTTCCTATCTCCTGGAACAGAAATCAAATTAAGAAAGCAAATACCTTATTTCCTAGTCTTGGTGTTTTCTAGGTCTAAGGCTTCCTTTAGTGTAGCTGAACACGCTGTTAGAACTTCCCTTGTCTTTGAGTGTGTGGCAAATTTTTTCATCTCCTTCATTGATTTTTTTTTTAACCCTGAACTGAGGCAGTGGATAAATATGTTTAAATTGATCATTTCACCAGTATCTTGGAGCTTTAAATTAATTAATAAAATAAGAGACAAAGTTTTAAATGACATCTTACTTTCCATTACATGGACAAATGAAGACACTTCGATTTTCTTACTTTGCTTTGTGGTGAATGATTGATGACATTTTTTACTCATATTCAAGGGCTCAATTTTTTCTTTGTGATAAAGAGAAAAATGAAGTTATTTTGCACAAACCAATTTATTCTGTGATTTGTGAGGAAGATTTAAAGGTAAAACCAATTATGTGTCTATGCTCAGCTTTCTGTGCCCATCTCTATGTGCAGTTCTGTTTTCCCTCAGTTTCTGAAACATGGAGCTAATGCTTATTTCCAGTTATGGCCAATGTCACCTATAAAGATGACACATAACTTCTGTATCCTCCATATAAACCTCTATAAACTTCATATAATATCTATAACTTCTGCAAACGTTCTCCTTGAGGAGTGCACCTTTCCCCTGGGAGCCATTTGGAGGGTGAGGCAGCCAGATCTGCAGAAGAGTTGGAGCAGTTCTTTCTAGCAATAACCTGGTAAATGCCGGTTTCTGGTGGGTTTGTAAAACAGCCAGTCCTCCCAGGGCCAGCCAGCAGCATGGCCATACTCAGTGTGGGATGGCAGTAATCAAGTCACCCACCTGAAATGTTGTTTTTGCTTAATTGCTCAACTTCAGAATACATTTTTAATGTTTGTTTTCTCTGTTTAGCTCTTCTCGCTGATGGAGATGAAACCTCCAATTTCCCGAGCCAAGATGATTCTCATCACAAAAGCTGCCATTAAAGCTATTAAGGTAAAGTACAACAAAACAAAGGTGAAACTGTAACAGCAGCAATGTTTTATTATTTCACTTGTAAGTAAATACTCAGGATTTGCCAATCTCAGCTTCAGGGATGGTTTATTCTAGCTGCTGTTAAGGCTGTTGTCTAGAAACAAGTGGGTGGTGAATATCATCCCTTGGTTTTGGACTAGAAGCAAAATGCCAGCTTGGTTTTTTTGAGCTGTTGCTTTTTAATGCTACACCCACTAGAGTGTTGTGATTTTTGTGTAATAAAACTAAATATTGCAGGATGCAACCGCACCTTAACATGTGAAACCAGTGTGGATTACAGAGACAGTAAATCCAGAAAGCTTTCACTCATACTTGACAAGCAATGTGCCTTGTGTGCACACTGACACACTTCTGACTTGGATCTGGGTTTTCCCCATGGAATATTTTCCTCAATTGGGGAACATCCTGCTTTTTAGAATGTGACTGCAATGTTCTATAGCCTTTCTGAAATGCTAATAAGCACAAGGAGTTAAAATGCTTCTAAAATGATGTGCCACTGCCAAGGAGATGATAAATTAATGGATATATTTATTTTCCAGCTTTACAAGCATGTTGTCCAGATTGTGGAGAAGTTTATCAAAAAGGTAAAAAGTAAAAAAAAATTAATTTCTTGATAAAGTTATCTGCATGCTTTGCTAGACATCGGTAACAATACTAGTAAATAACCAGAAAGGCTTCTGTTACTTAGGTTTTGAGGGAGGAAATCCTGGTTTGTTAGGATTCCACATTTTGGTATTACTTTGTCTATATAAGCTCCACATTGTAGTTTTCCATAATACATTGAGGAGGGGAGGGAAGAAGTAAATTGTGAGATTTCCCATCTTCCCTACACAGCAGCTGGGGAGGAACCTGGAGGTGCTGAACTGCAAATTAATTGTCACTAAGACAGTGCATATTTCCAGAGAATGCAGTGTTCCTGCTTGCCTGGGCATGAAGAGCAAGAGGCTGGGATGCAGGGCTGTGTTTGAGCCCCAGAGCAGGTTTGCTGTGAGGCTCTGAGGGGGATGTCACCTTGTGGAGTCCCTGCCTGACGCAGAATCTCTGTGCTGTTTGCAGTGCAAGCCGGAGTACAAAGTCCCAGGCTTGTACGTCATCGACTCCATCGTTCGGCAGTCTCGGCACCAGTTCGGAACAGACAAAGATGTTTTTGGGCCAAGGTTCTCTAAGAACATTACTGCCACATTCCAGTATTTGTATCTGTGTCCATCTGAAGACAAGGTAGGACCGGCACTTGGAGTGTTGCTGTGCATTGGTGGGATGCTGCCTTGGTGCTTGCACTCCTGTAGCAGGGATTTGGGGATTCTCTCTGACCATTATAGTGACTGTTGCTGAGAAGGATTATCAAAGGTGGCAGTTAAATGCAAAGTCAAGTTAAAAGATGTATTTTGCCTAACCTCATTGGTTTTGTTTTGCCTATGCAGACACTTCAGCAGTGTGTGTTAAATGTGCCAAAAGTTCTTCTTGAGGCTCCTTCAGCACTTCCTTTGGAAGGCAGAGTCTGCAACAATGAGAAAGTTGCAGGAGAAGCTCTGGTTTTGTGGGCAGCAACTGTTCTGCTCAGAAATGTTTTCTAAGAAAATCATCATGTTGATTTCTTCAGTCTTTTCCAATCCCATACTTGAGTTTTGTTGGTGCTCTCCACTGTCAGGGCTGGTCTAGAGCCTCATTTTTCTTAGTTCTGCTGTACTTTTTAGTTGAACAGAGGCTCAGAAAGTGAATTCCTGATGGTCCAGAGAAAATGGTTTTTGTGACCTCTGTCAGTACAGTTTTGAGACTCCCAAGTTCAGTGTGTTTTAGAAGTTGCCAGCTGGTTTCCGGAAAATCACCTACTCCCTTTCTCTTTGTAAGAGTGAAATACTCCTTTTCTACCTGACTTCCTCCCTAACTCTCTAAGTAAGCTTTTGAAAGGCTTGGATGCTCTATAGTTTTCTAATGTGCAACATTCAGACCTTCAGGCATTGAATCTGATATTTGGGAGCTCCTGGGTTGATAGCCTGTGAAACAGACCAGTCCCTTCTTTCTGTTTCTGCATTACCATTTTGTTCATCTGAATGAATGAGACTGTCCATCTCCTTCATGAAACTACTTGATATTGGGAATGTTATTATTTAAAACACACTTCTTTTAATGGATTTCTTGTTCCTAAACAAAAGAAAAAAACAAACCCAACCCCGATCTGCAGATACACAACAACTGTGGGTGATATCTGAAGAGGATGCTACATTTATTATTTTAAACAGCCTTTCTGTAAAATTAATATGTGACTTAAAATGAGAGTATTACATTTGCCCATTTTTTTGCCTTTGTATAAATTTCAAGTTTTCTGGAGAGATAGAATACCCAAAGTAAAAAAAGTGCTGCTGTTTTAAAGTTAACTGTTTTTCAGACCAAAATGTTACTTAAAAATAGACATTTCAGGTTTCTCTGTAACTGACGTTATTTTAGCAAACATTTTGTAAAATTCTTTAATTGCCTAGTTAGAGGTGGGTTTACATGGGTGTATATAACTGAGTCAGAGTGAAAGAGCAGAATCAATTCATTTGAACTAAAAGGTACTTACAGCTTATATGTGTGCAAGTGAGTGACTAAGTCTGCAGAGAGGACAGCAATGCAACGTGTGTTCTGCCTTCCACCTGCTTGCATCTTCCAGCTGAAGCAGCACAGCTACTGAGACATCTTTGTTTGAATGCTGGGCTAAAGAAGGAAGGGCCAATTTCTAGCTTGTTCCTGGAAGCTGCATTGTTCTTCATGTAAAAAAAAAAAAAGGAAAGAAATGAGCTTAAAATAACAGCTGACAATCAGAGATTCTAAATTAATCCTTCTGCAGTGATCAGTGAGGATGTTTCCTGCTTGCTTTCCTCATCTTTTGGATAATGATGGAGATGCAGTTTCTGGTCTCAACATAGAATTGGTTGGGTTAAGAATAATACCAAGAAAGGAGCCCTCAGTCTGACTGATTCTGAATCAAAGTGTTGTGGTAACATTTTCTGGTCTAACTGCCCCTCTCTTCACGAAGGCTTTCCAGCTCATCTTCCTTTTCTCTTTTTGGTCACGTGGGTTCCTTGTTTCATCCCTTTGTGACGACCTGTGTAAACACGGGGCTGAAATGGATTGGTCCTGGATTGTACAGCACACCTGGATTTGTGATTGGCCAGAAGAGTTTGAGGGAAATGTCAGATGGCTTTGATAGTACAACAAGTTGACAGTTTTTATCTTTGCCAGTTCAAAGGTGTTGCTGCCCTCTTGTCACGACACAGGGTTTGCTGAGTTGATGATGGTGATTGTGTCACGTGATGTTCAAACCTTCTCTACATACAGAAGATAAAATGGTAACTTAAGAAAGCTGGATTCAGCATTGGTGCTTCCTTTTGTTTCAACAGAGTAAAATAGTTCGTGTCCTGAACCTCTGGCAGAAAAATGGAGTATTCAAAATTGAAATAATTCAGCCTCTCTTGGATATGGCAGCAGGAACCAGTGCCACTGCACCCATAGCAGAGAATGCTACTAACAATGAAGGTAGGAATGACATTTTAACTTCTGCTCTCAAAGGGTAAATAACAACAGCTTGTTTGCTTTCAGCACAAAGTGCCTGCTCTTAGTTCCAGCAGTGACATGGCAATAAAGTCAGCTTTGTCACAATGAGCAGCCAAACTCATTTTCAATAAGTGCTGATACTGTACTTCAGAAAATACTGTACTTCAGAAGTCATGTCAGTATTGACATGGGAGATATATTAAATGTTTGTCATGTATGTATGCATGTGTACATATGCATGTGCACACTTAGAGGTGACTTCAGTGTGCCCTCTTAAACAGACACTATTTTTTCTTTTGCTTTGAAATATTTTTATGTGATTTCTCAATTTCATAATTGTGATGTAATTTTTTAATGCCAGTATCCAGGTGAGTGACTGGTATCTTAGGTGTTAAAGAGCTCCATCTTCCTTTGAGTCAGCTTAGTAGCTGAAAGCAGCAGCTGTCAGTGTCTCAGTGTGCAGCCCTGATAGTCTTGGACTGGTGTTTCACATCCAGGTTCTCAAAGAGAACATTTGTGCCAGGGATTTTGCATGGACTGCTGGCTGAGAAGCACCGACCTGCAGAGCACAGCAGTGCCAGCCTGCCCACAGTGCCTGCACTGACCTATTTAGTGCCACAGCAAAGTGAGAGTGAGGTTACAGGGAATACGCATTCCACAATTCCTTCCTTCTCCGAAGAGCTGCTTTTTGGCTCTGCACTCCGTGTTTCACACTGAGCTTTGGTAATCTCCTTATTCACTGTGCTCATGGAGTAGGACTGGGAAAATGGAACGGAGGGAGTGAGGTGTGGTGAGAGACAGCAAAGCAGTGAAATCATCTCCAGCTGTGTTCAGGGAAGTGTATCCCATTAAAGGTTTTATAAACTTGGCAGGGCCAGGGAATGAGTGCCTTGGCATCTGAGCTGGGGGGAGAGGGCAGAGTGGTGGCTGTACAACTGAATTTTGGGACGGGTGAGGGGCACTGCCTGTCCAGCTCTATCTCTCCTCAGTAGTGGTGAACAGGTTGGATGCCTTCTGCACAGATTTTCAGTGAGGTTATTCAGATGCATCACAGGGGGTAATTTGGCCCTGCAGTAAATATGCTAATGAATAATAATAAGTATATTAATGCATTATGTGAAGTAGAGTCTGTTTTGCTGATAAAGGTAGAGAGAAATGCAAATTTTCTCCCTTGAGCAAGCAAATATCCTTCCGAATATATACAGGAAATAATTTGGGAGTTACTTTATATTTAAAAACAACACGTACCTTTTTGCTTTGTTTTTATGTTGCATTTCACTTCTGGGAAAGTATTATTCAACACATTTGCCTGTGCTTGCTGCCTGTCAACGCTGGAGTTATTTGAAGTGCAAACAGAGGAATGGCTTTATAAGAGTTGCTATTGCAAGGCGAACGTGTTTGCTTAGTGTTTCGAACGAAATATTTCTGTCTGTGGAGTTGTTTTTTTTTTAACTCACTCCTTGTACAGCTTTATTATGTCCATTAAAAAAGATCCACTGAAGAATAGTTACTCACAGTATGTAGGAATTGATGGGATTATTGCTAATTTATTTGGTACTGGCAAGATGCTTACAAAAGGTGTTGTAATGTAAGACAAAGAGAATGGGAACACTAATAGCATGTCTTAAATTGTGATCTCAGTTTCAGCAAAGCTTAGTGGAAATGGGAGTCTTTTCCTGGAAAAAGGAGTAAATATAATTTTCCTGGTGGGAGGATTTATCCATCAGCTGCAGGTGTGGCTTGTGCATGTGCAAAAGAGACATATGAACAAACTTTGTCAAAGAAAACTGCCTGTGAAGTAATCCTTAAAAACCTTTAATTATTGCTAGACTTTTCTGCAAAAGTTCAGTTACTGGGAGAATCTCAGCTGTTCTTCCAGTGAGCCATGAGATGGTTGATTTGGATAATTTACCCAAAAGGATGAGCCCAGGTCTGTGGAAGCAGAACCACCACATTCAGGGTATTGAAGCTCATTGCCTAGTGCTGTTTGAGTGAGAGCTTTTCTAAACCTGCACAGCTACTAACATGGAGCTGGGAGCTAAAATTCCGTGTGGGACCAGCTTTTCTGTCTTAGTGCATCCCAAGTGCAGGTGTGAGCAGTGACTGGAGCAGCTCATGGCACAATGAACAGAATACGCAGCTGGATGGTGTAAATTGGCCCTTTTGGGTTAAACTGGGGGTTGTAGGCAGACACTTGTGGGGAGCAAGAGGAATGTGGAGTCACACAGCCCTGTCTGTGTTCCTGGAAACCCTCAGGTTCGCCGCCGCCTCCGGCCAAGGTTCCCTCAGAGGCCCCGCAAGTGACCGCGAACTCAGTGCCCAGCGTGCCACAGCTGCCCAGTTCTGATGCCTTTGCAGCTGTAGCCCAGTTGTTCCAGACAACACAAGGACAACAGGTAACCTGCTCACTGATGCCCTTCAGTTTCTGTGTGAAACGAGAGGGAGAGTGGTGGAGTTGAGAGCCTGGATTTGAAGCTTCCCAAAGGTCTTCAGGGAAAAACTTGCAGGAATTAGAGTATTTAAATTCTTCCATCCAATAGTTGCAATATTTGATGATACTCGGTTTTATGTTCCTAAATAATTACTTATGAATTGATGCAGTAACAGTGTTTCCAGAACAGGTGGAATATCTCAAAGAAAATGAGGAATTTAATTATTCAGACCACTTAAATGTTTGCTGTATTGAAGGGCCTGAGCACTGCAGTGTTGGGATCTACTGAGTTTTGCCACCAGAGTGTTTAAAAAGGGACTCCTGGTCTTGCTGTAAATGCTCCCACAGTTCAGTCAGGTTGTTAGTGTATTCATCCCCTGCCAGAGTCTGTACTGACATGAAATTTATATCCTACAACTATTCCAATACTTGGTGTTTATATGAGAACATACACTTAATACTGTCTTACATTTCTGTAGCTTCAGCAAATCCTGCAGACCTTCCAACAGCCTCAGAAGCCCCAGTCACCGGTCATAGACAACACTGTGATGGCTCAGGTTCAAGCTATTACTGCTCAGTTGAAAACCACAGCAGCACAGCCCCCAGAGCAGAAAGCTGCTTTCACAGCACCTGAGCAGAAAACATCGTTTGACAAAGTAAGTCTTGGTTCTCATCTTCTGAAGCTGAAGAAAACTGGTTTTGGACAGTTTTTATTTTGTATTGGAATATAGATTTCTGTTTTTCCTCAGTTATATCCTTGTCTTTAGTTTCAGAGCTTACATAGGTTGTAAAAATGAGATAATAAAAGATATTTCGGCTGGCAGTTGGGTAAGATACAGAAAAAATAGTTGTCCTGATGTGATTTCTTTCAGAAGCTGCTAGATCGGTTTGACTATGATGATGAACCAGAAGCAGTGGAAGATTCAAAGAAAGAAGATTCAGCTCCTTCCCCTTCAGTGTCTCAGCCGGCTTTGTAAGTTCTAAGTCATAATAAAACTAAGGAATCTTTGTCCTAAAACATTTTTAGGTTAGAAAGTAGATTAAAATTCCAAGTTAGTTCAGTGTTTAACTGCTACAGTTCAAATCTAAAACATTGCTAACAGGTTTTGGTGTGTAATTTTTATGTCTCGTTAGTTTGGTGATCTGGTGTAGGTCTGTGTTGCCTCATTGATTAAGGACTGTGCTCTGTAGAGAAAAGCTCGGTTTTGGTTGCAAGATTGAGTTCCATGTTTTTACAGTACAACTGTGGGTGTCAGGCCATCACTGGATCAGCTGGATTGCTTTACTAGTTGGGGAAAAGCTGCTATTCCAAACATTGTGATCGTTTTAAGTATTCAAGAAATGAAAATTAGCTTTACAGTTTTATGTTGGCAAACATTCCTTCCCCAGGAATGTTTGCAAACAGGAAACAGGCTCCTGTTTCCCTTTTGCTGTGTGAACCTTTTGCTTGGGTTGTACTGCAAGACAAGTCTGTATTCTGTTAGCAGCTGTTAAAACCAGGTGGGGCAGTGTTCTTTATCTCTCCCACCACCCATCCTCCCTCCAGGGGGAAATCTTCTGTTCATGGGCCATTGAGTCTCACTGCATGACTGATAAACTTCCATCATCCCACTGGGACATGCTGCACCCAGGGGGAGGAGCCGAGCATTCCTACCTGGATATAATCTGAGATTTGGAACACCACAGTCAGCCTTTCTCCACTGGATTCCCAGAGGAAACCATGACCCACCTCCAGCAGCCCTGGAGCTTCAGAGGAAAGCTGCAGCCTTTGTGCAGGATCATTGCTTCAGCAGAGCCCATCTGTCAGTGCAGGAGGACTGCAGGCACCATTTAGTGAGAGTGCTAGCAACACGTGCCCAACAGGGTGTCAGGTTGTATCCTGACTCTGTCAGTGGTTTTTGTACTACTGCATTGTATTTTAATGTTCTTAGGAAAGAACTGTTATTCTTACTCCCATATCTTTGCCTGAGAGCCTCTTAATTTCAAATTTGTAATAATCTGGGGGGGAGGTTTACATTTTCCATTTCAAGAGAGGCTCCTGCCTTCCTTAGCAGACCAAACCTGGTTGTCTTTCAAACCAGGACAGATTTTGGTGCCCTGTGTGGGGCATGAGGACATTGAGAGAAAAAGGGTGAAAAAAGGAATAACAGTTCTTTAGTAACTTGTGTTCTGGATCTAGAAACCTCATTAGGTGGCACCGTGTGGTCTCGCTTACCCTGGTTCAGGTGGCATGTGGTCGTGGCTGTATTTCTTCTGTTTGCAGGCCCTTATCTACACATGGGTCCTATAACTAAGGCTACTATGGCTATTATCCAATTTGCTTGATAGCTTAGTAAGGTGAGGAATTAATGGATTTTTTCCTCTGGAAGGTGGATGGATTCAGAGCTATCACACACTAACTGTATGTTTTTGGGGTTACTTTAATAATGGTACCTACTGTGAGGAAATGTTACCAGGGGAAATTTTCCCCCATCCCTCCACCCAGCTCTTTGGGTCTACCCCACCTGTTTTCAAAGGGTTCAAATCTTCTCTAAATGCTAATGATATCATACAATGACTGATGTTGCTGATACACCTATTACATTTAGCATTCAGAGATAAAGGGAGATTGGGTTGGATAGCCACCCTGACAGCTACCCCAGAGAACAGGGATGCTGCCCCTTAGCCTGACCCTGCCCCACAGCCCACCTCAGAAATGAACCACCTGGATTGGGTGGGGGATTCTGGTGAAGGAGATGGGCCAGATGCTAAAGGAGTGCATTTCCTCAGCTGCTGGGAAACCCTCCCCCTGCCTCGAAGAGGGAGAGTCTGATGGTGCTGCAGTGGAACCCACAGACGTTACAACTGTCCGCAGTTCCAGCTGAACCACAAGGGCAGTCACAGCCAGCAGCAGTTGCCGCTGTGGAAACAAAGTCTAAGATGAAATCAGGGGCTAAGAAAGGAAGGCCCTCATAACCTGCAGGGGAGCCAGAGGCTGAGATCAGCGCTGAGCCGCTGACGTATGAGCGTCTCCATAATCTGCAAAAAGACATTGTGAGGTGGGGGCGTGAGCCTTATACAACCTGGTTACTTTGGGTCTGGGACCTTATGGGTGCAGGTGTGCAGCTGGATGGTGGTGAGGCAAGGAATGTGGGACCCTTGACCCAGGACTCAGGCGTGAATCAGGTATTTGTCAGGGAGCAAGGGCCCCTTTCCCTCTGGGAGCTGCTTTTGATGAGTGCAAGAGAGAGGTTTGTCCACAGAGAGAGAATGGAAGAGTACTATCATAGAAGGGGCTGGAAAACCATTGAGGAAGGGATCCAACAGCTGAGAGAAGTGGCAGTATTAGAGGTCCTTTTTGGGAGGGGTGGGACAGCATGATAATGACCCCGACAAAGTCAGGTGCACTGGACAGATGTTGTGGAGTCTGGCAAATCTAGGGCCACGTGAATACACCACCTTCATTGCCATGATTAATGCTGATAACAACTGAGAGACAGTGGGTTCTGTCACCACCAGGCTTAGAAATTTTGAGAGTATGGTCCATGGCCCGCAGCAGGCTTGGATTTCTGCTGTGATTAAAGAACTCAAAGAGGAGATGAGGGAAATGAGGAAAGAGATGAGGAAGAGCAGTTCCCATATGGCACCAGTGCGAGTCACAAGCCCAAAACTCCAAGCCCAGCGTCCCCCAGCTAGAGAGAGAGGGTACACCCCACGAGCTGAGCTGTGGTTCTTTGTACGTGACCATGGGGAAGACATGGGAAAGTGGGATGGGAAACCCACTTCTGCCCTGGCAGCACGAGTGTGTCAGCTCAAGAAGGGAAACACTAACCAAAGGAGTTCCACTAGAGCAAAGGTAGCCTCAGCCTCCCATCACCAAGCTGCCAGGTATTATAGAAGGCAGGAAGATCTGTCAAATACCCTTAAAGGAACTTTTAGTATATATGCCCAGGAAAGAAATAATAACCAGTGCTAGAGGGGCCCTGCCTCTAGCCAGGAAGAGGCGCGGGAAAACCGGGTCTTTTGGACAGTGTGGATCAGATGGCCTGGCACATCAGAGCCACAAAAATACAAAGCTTTAGTTGATACTGGTGCACAGTGTACCCTAATGCCATCAGGACATGTGGGGGCAGAACCTGTTTCCATTGCTGGGGTGATGGGGGGATCGCAGCAATTGACTCTGTTGGAAGCCGAAGTGAGTCTGACTGGGAAGGAGTGGCAGAAACATCCCATTGTGACTGGCCCAGAGGCCCTGTGTATTCTGGGCAAAGACTTCCTTTGAAATGGCTATTACAAAGACCCAAAGGGACTCAGGTGGGCTTTTGGAATAGCTGCTGTGGAGGCAGAGGACATTAAGCAATTGAACACCTTGCCTGGACTATCAGAGAACCCATCTGTAGTAGGACTCCTGAAGGTGGAAGAACAGCAAGTACCAATTGCCACCTCAACAGTGCACCACCGACAGTATAGGACAAATCGAGATGCTGTGATCCCCATCCACAAGATGATCCGAGAGCTGGAGAGCCAAGGGGTGGTCAGCAAAACTCACTCACCCTTCAACAGCCCCATCTGGCCTGTGCGTAAATCTGCAGGAGAATGGAGATTGACTGTGGACTATCGTGCATTGAATGAAGTGACTCCACCTCTGAGCGCTGCTGTGCCGGACATGCTGGAGCTCCAGTACGAGCTGGAGTCCAAGGCAGCGAAGTGCTACGCCACTATTGACATTGCCAATGCATTTTTCTCCATTCCCCTGGCAGCAGAATGCAGGCCTCAGTTTGCCTTCACCTGGAGGGGAGTGCAGTACACCTGGAACCGACTGCCCCAGGGGTGGAAGCACAGCCCCACCATCTGCCATAGACTGATCCAGGCTGCCCTGGAAAAGGGTGAGGCTCCAGAACATCTGCAGTACATTGATGATATCATTGTGTGGGGGAAAACAGCAGTGGAAGTGTTTGAGAAAGGGAAGAAGATCATCCAGATTCTGCTGGAAGCCAGCTTCACCATAAAAAAGAGCAAAGTCAAAGGACCTGTGCAAGAGATCCAGTTCCTGGGGATGAAGTTGCAAGAAGGATGGCATCAGATTCCCACTGGGGTCATCAATAAGATCACTGCAATGTCTCCACCTGCCAGCAAGAAGGAAATGCAGGTTTTCCTAGGTGCCATAGGTTTTTGGAGAATGCGTATTCCTGAATGCAGCCAGATTGTGAGCCCTCTCTACCTGATCGCCCACAGGAAGAATGATTTCCACTGAAGCCCTGAACAACAACAAGCCTTTGCTCAGATCAAGCAGGAGATCACTCATGCAGTAGCCCTTGGCCCAGTCAGAACAGAGCACATGTGAAGAATGTGCTCTACTCTGCAGCCGGGAACAATGGCTTGTCCAGGAGCCTTTGGCAGAAAGTGCCAGAAAGTCTCCCCAGAAAGTCTGGGGAGACTCAAGGCCGACCACTGGGATTCTGGAGCCGAAGCTACAGAGGGTCCGAAGCCAACTACACTCCCACAGAGAAGGAAATCTTAGCTGCCTATGAAGGAGTTCAAGCCTCCTCAGAGGTGATTGGCACAGAAGCACAACTCCTCCTGGCACCCCGGCTACCGGTGCTGGGGTGGATGTTCAGAGCAAAGAGTCCTTCCACCCACCATGCCAACGCTACATGGAGCAAGTGGATTGCTCTCATCACACAGCGCACCCATGTTGGAAACCCAAATCGCCCTGGGATTTTGGAGATAATTACAAACTGGCTGGAAGGTGAAAACTTTAGTCTCACTGATGAAGAAGAGCAGGAACAAGTGACATGGCTGAAGGAGCTCCACCATACAACCAACTGCCAGCAGAAGAAACACGCTATGCTCTGTTTACTGATGGTTCCTGTCGCGTCGTAGGGATGAACCAGAAGTGGAAAGCAGCCGTATGGAGCCCCACACAACAGGTCGCAGAGGCCACTGAAGGAGAAGGTGGATCAAGCCAACTTGCTGAACTCAAAGCTGTTCAACTGGCCCTGGACATTGCTGAAAAAGAGAAGCGGCCAAAGCTCTACCTCTACACGGACTCATGGATGGTACCCAATGCTCTGTGGGGATGGCTGGAAAGGTGGAAAAGGGCCAACTGGCAGCGTAGGGGAAAACCAATCTGGGCTGCTGATGAGTGAAAAGATATTGCCACTAGGGTAGAGAAACTACCTGCCCATGTCCCCAGGAGTCGGGCTCATGAGGAGCTCGGAAACAATGAGCAGGTGGATCAAGCTGCTAAGATAGAGGTGTCAAAGATAGATTGGCAACATAAGGGCGAGCTGTTCCTAGCTCGATGGGCCCATGATGCCTCAGGTCATTCATATCCGTGACTGAGACATGTGCCACGATCAAGCAGGCCAAGCGGCTGAAGCCCCTCTGGTACGGTGGACATTGGTCCAAATACAAGTATGGGGAGGACTGGCAGATTGACTAAATCACACTGCCCCAGACCTGCCAAGGCAAGCGCTATGTGCTGACCTTGCTGGAAGCCATCACTGGATGGTTGGAAACCTACCCTGTGCCTCATGCTACAGCCTGGAAAAGCAAGTCTTGTGGAGACATGGCACCCCTGAGAGAATCGAGTCAGACAGTAGGACCCATTTCAAGAATAGCCTTATTCTGGGCAAGAGAAGGCGGTATTGAATGGATATATCATATCCCTTATCATGCACCAGCTGCCAGGAAAGCTGAACGATGCAAGGGACTGCTTAAGACTACCCTGAAGGCACTTGGCAGAGGGACCTTCAAAATTTGGGAAATGAACTTGGCAAAGGCCATCTGGATGGTCAACACCAGAGTCCATCAATTGAGCTAGTCCTGCCCAGTCTGAACCCTTGCACACTGGATGGAGATAAAGTCCCTGTGATACATGAAAGGTACTTTAAGAAAGACTGTTTGGATTGGTCCCATCTCAGGCAAAGGCAAACCTGTCTGTGGGATTGTTTTTCCTCAAGGACCTGGTTACACTTGGTGGGTAATGCAGAAAGATGGAGAAATCTGTTGTGTACCACAGAGAAACCTCATCTTAAGCAGGAACTGTGTGTAGGGTTTCATTGTATATGTATATATATATATATATATAGAGAGAGAGAGAGAGTTTAAAGAGGGTATTGATTTGGGTATGATGCAGATGGTAATAGAATAAGGGGTGAATAATGTCTTCGGTTGCACTGCAAGATGTAACCACAAGTCTGTATTCTGTTAGCAGCTGTTAAAACCAGGTGGGGCAGTGTTCTTTATCTCTCCCACCACCCATCCTCCCTCCAGGGGGAAATCTTCTGTTCATGGCCATTGAGTCTCACTGCATGACTGATAAACTTCCATCATCCCACTGGGACATGCTGCACCCAGGGGGAGGAGCCGAGCATTCCTACCTGGATATAATCTGAGATTTGGAACACCACGGTCAGCCTTTCTCCACTGGATTCCCAGAGGAAACCATGACCCACCTCCAGCAGCCCTGGAGCTTCAGAGGAAAACTGCAGCCTTTGTGCAGGATCATTGCTTCAGCAGAGCCCATCTGTCAGTGCAGGAGGACTGCAGGCACCATTTAGTGAGAGCGCTAGCAACACGTGCCCAACAGGGTGTCAGGTTGTATCCTGACTCTGTCAGTGGTTTTTGTATTACTGCATTGTATTTTAATGTTCTTAGGAAAGAACTGTTATTCCTACTCCCATATCTTTGCCTGAGAGCCCCTTGATTTCAAATTTATAATAGTTTGGAGGGAGGGGGTTTACATTTTCCATTTCAAGAGAGGCTCCTGCCTTCCTTAGCAGACCAAACCTGGTTGTCTTTCAAACCAGGACAACTGTGCATTATGATAAAGTCTGGAATGACATGACCACATCCCAGTTTTTTCCACAGGACCTCTCTCTCATTCAGTACACAGGCTGGATGGTGCTCAATGCCGGGGTTAGTCCATATTTCTTTTTTCCCTGCTTCAGTATGTGGCCCCCTGTCTTTCTCTCTGTATCTGCATCTAAACCTTGCTTTCAAAACCAGAACCACTAACTTTGTCATCAGCTTTCTGACTGTGTCTCTCACCTTGAGCACTTTATGTCCAAGAGTAGTAGTTCATTTGAGTGCCTCTGAAGGAAATAGCTAGATTTAGAATGCAGATGGAACTCTGGAGTTCAGAAAGATGAGGTAGGTCAAACATAGGCACTGCTTGTGTCTGCCCAGCTGGGGGCTTGTGAGCATGTTTATGTTCTGTTGGTAGTGCTTCATGCCCTCTGTCCTTGGTGTCTCACAAGTGTGCAAGGCATCCCTGAGGGTGGCATTCCAGTGTTCCCAGTCTGGGCACACAAGCTCAGTAATTCTCTCTATAAAATACTCATCTGTCCAAAATCTTCTCAAAATTGTCTTCAGACATTGCAAAGTTCCATTTCCCATCACCATCTAATTCTTTTATCCCCCTGAAATCCTGCTGAGTTTCTTGCACAGGCTGCATCCTGCAAGCAGGTCCTGTTACCTGCACAGAGCTCCAGAATTCCCTGAGCACTGTCCATTCTGTGTGTTGAATCAGGAAGTGATGGGGATCACTGTAATCCTCGTGTGATACACACTCCCTTCTCTGCCCTATTTCCTCCCAAACCAAAATGTTTTTGTACAGCAAAAGTACAGACAGTTTGTTTTCCCTGTGGAGAAAAGCACTGCTTCTTTTGTTCCCAAAAGAGGAACTGCAAAGGAAGAGAATTAGCCTAAGGCAGAAAATCTTCCTGGAATATTTCTGTAGGCTGAGATCTTTAGCAAGCTTGCATAAGTAGAGGGGCAAAAGAGGCTCTAACCTTTGTGTAGCATTCTTTAAATGCAAAAGGACTACTCTTAGAGTGGAGAAGAGATCCAGAGGCCACTCTTTCTTCCTTTTCTTTTTTTGTTGGAAACAGGACCATAGTAAAGATAACTGTTCTGTCTGAAATAACAGCAAAAATGTGTAAATGTGCATAGAAATCTGTAAAATAAAGACAAATTGTACATTTATTGACTTGTCTCACCAAAATATTCCTGGTTTTAGTGGTTTTCCAGGAGAAGGCATGCAGCAGCCAGTATTTCCTCAGCTCCCAAATATGGATCCTTTTCAGCAGCGGATGATGGGAATGCAGCAGGATCCGATGCGGCACCAGGTAACCCCAGGCTTTTCCCTTGTCCCCCTCTTGTGTTTTCCATCCTTTGCTGTTTTCTTTGGTGCAGAAGGAAGGAAGTGATTTTCCTGTTGGTGAAGAGTGAATGTGGCTTAGCCCTCCATCTTCCCAAAGAAACATATTATTTTTGGTGTCTGTCCTAGTCAGTCTTTGAAGGACAAGATTGTTACTTCTACACCCAAATGCTTGGCTTGCTTCATCTTTCCCCCATCTTTTGTTGTGAGTTTTGAGCAGACATAAAACTTCACTTGAGCCTGCTGGGAAGCAAATGTAATTCCTTCTCCTAGATGTAATTCTGTGTTTTTTCCTCTCCCAAGGTGCCACTTCCTCCGAATGGGCAGATGCCAGGCTTTGGTCTCCTGCCTACCCCCCAGTTCCCACCCATGGCTCAGCCAGTGATGCCTCCAGCAGCACCAGTGCAGCCAACTTTCCAGTCTCCCTTCCCAGTCCAGGCTGAGCCACACCTGCAGAAACCCCATCAGCAGGTGAGCAACCCTTACAGTGAACAGAGCAACTTAAATGCTCTCATACATGTCTTTCCCAAACGTGTGTGGATTGTCCTGGAGCAGAAATGTCAGGATGACCAGGACACAGCTGGCTATGAGGCTGGCTCTGCTGGGAGGCAGTTGGGGAGCTCCAGGACTTACCTTTTTTCTGTCTCCAGCATACTTCAGGCTTAAAGTAGTTTCTTATAACATCTTGGAGAAAAGTTGCATCAGATCTCACTTTGCCTGAGACTTTGATGATGGAGCAGGAGGATCCACTGACTGATTTTAAGGAATAAAATCATATTCTGTGGGGATGCAGGTGGTACTGAGATGGGGTAAAATGTGGAAAACCAATAATTTGCAAATTGAAAATGGGAATTGTGTAAATTATTTCTATGGTGTCTTTTCAGTGGCTGTATTAAGTACCTGCAGTACTGGACCCTCTCTCTGCTAGTGACCACAGAATGAAGCCTTTGAGTCACATTACTCTTTAATTTCACACATTTGAATATTCAGTGTATTTTCAGTGCTATTAATTTAGTCTGAGCATAAAAAGAAATAAAATGCTTGTGCTGTTCACCCATAACAGCTGTCAACTTCACTTTTTAGGATATGGAAGTGGAACAGCCACCCATTCAGGAGGGAAAAAGGCATGTTTCCGACAGTAGGAAATCAAGATCTAGATCTGCATCAAGGTAAATGACTGAAAGTTCTTTTAGTGCAGGAATAAAAAGCAGATAGCAACTCTTAAGATACATGAACCTCTAAAGTCATCTCCCTTCTAGAGAAAATATGGTATCTATGCAGTTCTCTCTCACTGGGAGAGAGCAACTTCCATGCCTGTCAGTCCAGAATAAATTTTAGGTAGGCAGAATGTGATAGTTTAATTTTGTCTGTGCTCTAAAAACACTTTTTGTATGAAAACATTTGTGATCTATGTCTGTGTGTCACCAAGTGTGTGTGTCACATCCCAGCTGACCGAGCAGATCTGGCTCCACTCTCCCTTTAGTTGCCAGTCGTCTTCACCAAGTTCCACATGATTTCTCTGAAGGTCTTCCACAGCTTGAGTGGTTTAGAACTTGAACATGATGTAAAATACATTTTCAGTGGCAGATTCTATTTATAGTCTCTTTGAGCCATTTCTTTGTAAAAGAATAAACATTTGCCTCACTGATGCAGTGTAACTTTCCAGTGTTGAAGTGGACACAGTTTTGATGGTCAACTTCAAGACAAAATTAGTAGAGGACGAGATAGTGGAAAGTAATCATCTGTTCATATCAGCTACCGCAGTAATTTATGAATGCCTGTGAGTGAGCTTGGATTGTTGGATTCCCATATTGACGGAACTCTTTGGGTATTTAAGCCCTTAACCGTGTGTCGGTGTCGGCGTGGCAAGCGCTGACCACGCTCTGGTGGCTCTGGTCCCCACAGGTCCCCCAAGAGGAGACGCTCGCGGTCGGGCTCGCGCTCGCGGCGCTCGCGGCACCGGCGCTCGCGCTCGCGGGACCGGCGCCGGCACTCGCCCAAGTCCCGCTCCCAGGAGCGGCGCGAGCACGAGCGGGAGAGGGAGCGCCGCTCCAAGGGCCTGCCCCAGATCAAGTCAGAGACTGTCAGTGGTGAGTCTGCTCTCTTGGTGGCTGCTTGTGGGACTCTGCACCTTCCAGTAATGCCATTGTCTGGGTGATACTTTCAAAGTTTTTGTGCTCCTACTTGTGGTTTCCGAGGCTCATCCAAACAGAACAAAAGTTAACTGCCTTGTGATTCCTGGCAGGAATTTCACTACACTTCGTAGTAGGCTGTTTAGCATTTCTGGAGTATCTCCAAGTTAGAAATATTTTGGCTGTAAAATGAGAAAAGGAAAAGCTGGAACCCCATGTTTTTCTTTTCCTTCCTTTGAGACATATAAGGTAAAGCAGACTGAACAAAAAGAATTAGAGTTTATTGTAAATTATTACAATTTTTCAATTTTTCAAGTATTCAGTCTTGTGTACCTCTCCAGCTTGAAGGGGACTTTGACCTAGAAAACACATAGACTAATGTTTGGATTTTTGATAGAACCTTGGCTTTGCCAGTGTTTATAGAACAAACATAGTAGTTATCTTCTGAATATTCCTTGGGAGTGTGGAATCTTCTCCAGGGTCATCAAGTAAAATAAAAACATTCTTTCTTTGATAAGAGAGACAAAAACCTGAGGTGTTGTAAGAGCCAAGACCTGCGCAGTGACAGTCCCAGGGGTGTAAAGGCCTGCAGAGCCCTGGTGGCTGTTCAGTGGGAGCTCCCTGGCAGTGTTGTGAGATGTGCTGCTGCCAACACCTTTCCCAGGCTCTGTCAAGTTGGCTGTCAAAGTTTGCAGTTCTGTATCTCTGGTGGGAAACCTGGATGAGTATTCGGTGTTGCTGCAGTACTCTGCAGCCTGGAGGATACCTTGAGCTCCTCTCCTGGTTGTCACCCTGGGTTCACACAGGATAAATGTTGATTATATGTCCTCTAAGGAGCTTGTGTCAGCAGTGGCTCTGAGCACCTGTGCTAACTCTTGGTTGTAGTTTGCAGTACCACGCTGTGGGTAGGACAGCTCGACAAAAGGACAACTCAGCAGGATGTGGGAAGTCTCTTGGAGGAGTTTGGCCCCATTGAGTCGATCAATGTGAGTAGAAGGGGTGCAGCGTGAGCCGCTTTGATATGCTTGGGTGCAGAACTTCTCTCCAAGCTGCTGTGAGGCAGAGTTATTTCTGATACATTCCAAAGAGCTGGCCTTTCATTCCCTATGTGTTGTGCTTTCAATTCATGTGGCTGATGGAGGGAGCTGCTTTGGTTTCCTGCAGTACAAAAATGATTGTGGGGTAATACAGAGTATTATCCCTTTTTCATAAAAATCCTGCTGTGGCTGCAGAATTACATCCCATGCTTCTGAGTTCCTTGGTTGCTTCATTTTATTTGATTATAGGAGTATGGACTCTCAAGCTGGTGTTCTTGTTGCTCTTCTTTCATTTTAACCATAACCATGGAGAACTATTGTTTTATTTTGCTGTATTTAAGTATATTTTATATAGAAATTATAGCTGTTCCAGTAACTTCAAAAACTTCATTCATTCAAACAAACAAAAATAAATGACTAATTTTCTTCCTATTCCCAAATTTTGTAAAAGATCATAGGAGTTTTTTCCTCAAATTCATTACAAATAGAAATTATTCCAAATCTGCAGCTAGAAGTGAATGTGGAGGTGCAGCTGGCAGAGCAAAGGGGGATACTGTTGTGCATTCCAACAAAGTAACTAATTGCCAGACGTTAGAATTTACATGAACGCTATTGTTTAACAATTTGAAAGAATTAAATATGCAAAAGTCAGCTGTATTTTAGAGTTTTGGAAGTTTTGAGAAGTTGTGGAAGTTTTAGTTCACTAGAAATGGGAATTTCCATAAGATACTGGATTTCTTAGCCTCTTAAACTAGCATTTCCTTCCATACTTCCATATTCCCTTTTGGAACAGCCCCTGGTGTCCCTCCCAGCTTGCTGTAACTGAGCATTTGTGTGTTGTTCACTGTGACCCACAAGATGAACTTTTCCCCTTGAACCCTGCACAGATGATACCACCCAGAGGATGTGCCTACATTGTCATGGTGCACAGACAAGATGCCAACAGAGCCCTCCAGAAACTGAGCCGAGGCAACTTCAAAGTCAACCAGAAATCCATCAAGGTAATGCTTGGAAAATGTCAGGCCTTCCAAAGCTGCTGTAATTATTGTCATCCTGTCTGGTCTGTGCTGGGGGAATTCCTTGGGGGTATTTCAGACTTATATGTGTTCTGGAGATGATATTCTGTAAAATTCTGAAGAAATACATGAGTGAACTGGTTTTTGAGAATTATTATTCCTGGTCTATAGTGGGATTAGTGGAACCTTGTATCAGTTTCCTTGAGAGATATCTGTTTAATCAACAGAAATGGTGTCCTTTCAGGGACTGGCACTGTGTGTTTATCATTGCCAGTTATTTGTCTCCTAACAGAGTTTCATTACATATGATAATCCTACAAAGAGTACTAATAAATAAGGAAATGTGCATTAATTAATGAAGTTATTCCTTCTGTAGAATGTCAAATTAGTGTGACATTGTCCTCCAAAGGGAAATGGAATTAATTTTAGGGGCTGGGGATCATCAGAAGCAGCTGGCTTTATACATTTTTACAAATGGTGTACAAGAGTCAAGCCAAGGAATAGGACCTAAGTCTGCTTTAAAAGAAACTTACTTCAGGAGTTTTGTAGCTATTTCACTTCCACCTTTTACTTTTCGCCCTCAAGTGCTGTTTTGTGAGAATGAAATCTTAAATCCATTAAAGTGGAAATATTTTGCTGACCACTTGTATTTCCCCCTCCCCCCCAAGATTGCCTGGGCTCTGAATAAAGGAATAAAGCCAGACTACAAGCAGTATTGGGATGTAGAATTGGGTGTGACATACATACCATGGGACAAAGTCAAACCTGAAGATCTTGAAAGTTTCTGTGAAGGAGGAATGCTGGACAACGAGACCCTTAGTCCAGGTACAGTGCTACTGCATGCTTTGTTATTGAACCTTTGTTTCAGGGTTGGGTCATTCTGTCCAGTTTGCCCACTTAGCTGTCAATTATTCTATATGTGCTCTATCTGTAGCATCTCTTCATGCTGAACACACAAAAATCAGTTGTGTTTTAAACAAAAATGTAATGAATCATGAACATAATGTCAGTGTGTTCCAGTCCTCTCAGTGCTTTTCTCTCTCCCAAAGTGCCCCCTCACTGATCCCTCTTTTTGTGCTCTTCCCAGGAAGTTTGGATAGGCTATAGGAGCTATTTCTTCCATAAATTAAGTTTAAAGCTATATTTGACATTTCTCTTAATTTGCTGTAATTCTTTATAGTTTTATTCTCCTTTTCCTTATTTTGAGGCTTGAAGATGTTGGATATTTTAGAAATTAGTTCTCAAATTAGTGCCAAAGCTGCTGCCTTCTTCCCTGAGAGCGATAGAATGAACCTGTTGAAAGCTTGTCCCAAAAATCCTTACAATTTTTGTCACAGATAATGTAACAGAATCCTGGGTGTGTATAAATACTGTCAGTGCAAAGGATTGCTAAATGACTACATAAAGGAACAAGTTGACTTGCTGTTTCAGTGCTTGCTGAGTTTAAGTGCATTTGGAATTTTTATTGTCAGAAATCAGTGCTTCTTCGCTCTGTGCTGGTTATTACCTGAGTGTTTTCAATTAGGTTATTTTTGGAAATATGGCAAAGCATGTTTCACGTGGCTCTGCTTGTCTGATCCATGTCTGTTGGGATTTTGTTTTGGACAGAGTGGAAGGGAATTCCCAAGAAGTCTGAAAATGAAGTGGCTCAGAATGGAGGCGCAGAAGCTGCACACAATGAACCAGTGTCACCTATTCCCAAAGCTTTACCTGTCCCAATTCCTGTTCCCATGCCTGCACCAATAACAGTACCTCCTCCACAGGTGAGAGGCGCTCCACAGAAATAAACAAAAACTCACTTTAAATAATAATTCAGGGAGGGAGGGAATGCCATGAATGGTAACTCTCTTCTCTCAGTCACAGAGAAATCACTGTAGTTGAATCTTGGTTATAGAAGGGATGAATTGCATCTTCAGGTTTTCTGATTGGCTGTTTTTTGTTATTTGTTTTATTAATTAATGCTCCTCTAAAAGCTTTTCTTATTGGCAGATACTCCACTCCTTTTGTATCAGTAGTTTCTTGTCAGTGTTAAAATAGGAGAATCCCATAAATCAGACCTAATTTAAATTCAGAGCTTGTTATAAATCAGAAATAAAGCAAAACGAAACACCAGTCACTCTGATATGCAAACTCAGGTAGTGAGAAAGAGACAAGCAGAGGTTTTTACTTGCTCTGAAGTTGTGAGCATTCAGTGGATCCTGTCTGGAAATCCATCATGCTGGGTGGAAACGAATTCCAGGGACTGTGGGAGTGGTATGTGGAGGTGAGTTACTGACGTACCTTAGTACCCACTTAACACAGAGGGAAATTTTTCTCTCATTTCAAAGGCAGGCAGAACTGGTGTTGGTGTTTTCAGTGATGGGAGTTCCTGGAGTGCTCCTGCATCTTTTGTGCAAGTCCCCCCATGATTTTGAGCTCGCTGAGGTGTCCTGGTGGAGCTGGACACAAAGACAGATCCCCAGTGGGACAGAGAATCAATGGGGCACTCTTGGGGTAACCCATCTTTCCCTTTCCTTTTTCCTAGGTTCCCCCCCATCCATCAGGGCCTCCCATGGTTGGTGCACTCCAGCCCCCTGCTTTCACAGCACCTTTAGGAATCCCCCCTCCTGGATTTGCCCCCGGGGTGCCACCGCCGCCGCCGCCTCCATTCCTCCGGCCCGGCTTCAACCCGCTGCATTTACCTCCAGGTTTGTGGGGTGCGCCTGCCTGAGCCCTGCTGGGCCCAGAGCTGCACTGGCTGCACGGGGGGTCTGCCAGGGGGGCACTCAGGGCTCTCCTCTGCTTCTTGTAGGGTTCCTTCCTCCTGGGCCACCACCTCCCATAACTCCTCCGGTCTCTGTCCCGCACACTCCGGCAGTGAACATCCCAAACTGTAAGTGTTGGGCCCTGTGGAAGGCAGGGATCCTGCAGGAATTGCTGGCTGGTGTTGAATGTGTCCTTGCCTTGTTCTTCAGCTACAGCAACTGGTGGGAATGAGGACGCTACAAAGGAGTCGTCAGTAGGAAATCCCATCCCAACAGTAGTTTCTGGAGGCAGAGGGAATGCTGAAAGTACTGACACTTCCAAAATCTATGGCACTATTCCACCTCCTGTAGCACCTACCAGTGTCCCTGCTCCCGTCACCCAGGCTGTTCCACTCCTTGGTAAGTTCCTCCTCCGTAAGTTCTGCACTTCATTGTTCCCTACATTTCAAATAGCGTTTTGATTTGGCTACTGACTTACAGTCCAGGGGAAAGGAAGCAAATTTTTGGAATTTCTGTCCTACTGTTAGCTTTGAAATCAATTTTAGAGACTTAGTTTTGCACAGAAGAAACAGTCAATATTTTTTACTGTTGAAGATCTGTTTTCTGAGGAAACAAAGCCATGATGTGTAAGTTACAAACTCAAATGCTGTCCACTTCCAGCAAGTGAAGGTTTATACAGTGTAGAAAAGGAACATACAGCAACACATGTGTATGACATAGGAACCAGATTTGAGACTCAACTATATTTAAAATTAACGTGCAGAGAAACTGTTTTTAGTGTATTTTTGAAATCTCTGAGGATGGGATACATTCTTTTAATAGAACAGAAAACCAAAAGCTTTTATTCAGCCCTGCTGAATAAAACCTGGACAGGTTTTGAAACCTTTGTAAGAAGATATTTAAATACTACTAAATTTTTTTTTACTTATTAAACCCAGAGTAATGGGAGTACGTTGCATTAATTACTTTTCCTAATAAGATACAAACTTGGTCAGATTTTGAAAGGGAGTGTGAACTGTTACAGAGCTCTGCTAAATGCTTATTTTATGATGGTCTTCGATGGGCCAGTGTCAAGAATTTACTCGAGACTTGTTCCCTACAAACTTTAGTGAGGTTACTGCATTTATGGGATTTTAGGCCTCTACATGAGCGCCTAAGGAATGAATGAATGAATGAATGAATGAATGAATGAATGAATGAATGAAAAAGCTTATTTTGTGTTAGTGAGTTTCTGCCCAGAATTTTCAGTGAACATTGGAGAAAATCAGATTTGTCTCCCTGAGAGCTCACTGCTCTATTGAATGTGAGGGCTAAATTTTCCATCTAATTTAGATTACTAATTTAAGTCAGTCATTTCTATGACTAATGATTTATGGATCCTTCATGTTGAAAGCTTGACAGGAGACCCTTTCAGAACAGAGAAAAGCTTAAGAAGCTCTGTGGTGACACCATGGAGTCAGGGAATTTTGTTAGGAATTTCAGAAATTCACACCTTCCTGCTGAACGACACTTTCTGTAAAGGTAGCACGGAGTTTTGGAGTTTCACTGTCTTGGACAGCATAACCTGCACTTCATATTCCAGGCCTTTGGAATGTGTGAGGCTCCTCTGCACTTTGCTGTATCTCTGCACACATAACAAAAAGGTTATACAAAATAAAGACTGAACTAAGTCAGGCACTCAGATCAGTTCCTTGGACAGCAGCTGCTTTTTATTCTTAAAAATCCAAGAAAGCTGAATTTGAGAAACCTGGAAATCAGTAACTTGCCTTTGCTTTTGTTAACTCGTTTCCTGAGTGGCTGAGGCAGATCAAGTTCTCTGTGTGGTCAGAGTGAGTTCTGTCAGTGAGGGGAGGGTTTAGAGCTCACAGAGCAGTCCTGGAGTAATGGCTGAGATCTGTGTGCTTGATGAAGCTGTAGCACTTAATGTTGGGGAGTGTCTAATTTCAAGAAGTTATTTATAATTAAAGAGTTATGTAAAACCCATCCTGGAGTTGCAGGGCACTGTTCAGTCTGAAAACAGAGACAGAAAAACCAGAAGAAACAGATGATAATATTTTATGTGATTAAAAATAAAAGGTTAATATCAGTTGTCCTGGCTTTTTAAAACCTCTCAGCACAAATTACACTCTTCCTAAAAGCACTTGGAGTCACTCTTGCATTGAGAGTAGCCCTGCATGTGGGAGGCTAGAGAGTGTCCTGGGAAAGGATGAGGAAATGCTCTCCAGGTACTTGGGCAGGATGGGAGAGCTCCTGCAGCAGGCTGGACTCAAGGGATGAAGATTGCTGGGAAGAGGCTGTGGGAGAGATCCAAGATTTTGGTTTGGGAGCACTTCTGTAATCCCTACCAAACACAGGAGCTCTTGGATTCAGTTTTTCTGTGGAAGGCATGTTACGAAGTAATTCTAAAGGGATTATTGTAACTTTTCATACCCTTTCATAAGTTCTCTCTCAACTCCACCGATTTCCTTTGTGCCTCCACTGTAATTCCTTCATCCCTTCCAACCAGGACGTGGTTGTGTTTCAGAGGAGTGATGTCTCTTCGACTTTGGGTCTGGAGTTTTGTGCTTTTGTCTAAAGCCCACCCTCAGGTTATTGGGATTCAGTTGTGCCGTTGACCTCACTCTCTGCTGTTACACCTTGTTGTTCATGGGAACAGGACGTGGGATGGCTCAGTGAGCATGTGCTCAGGGAATTTGAAATGATCTGTAGAGAGGGGATTTGCAGGCTCCTGTGACATGTGCCTGCTGCAGGAAATGACAGCCTTTAAATCCCCTAGGATTGGTCCACGTGTTCCCAGCATTGAGCAAATGCTGCAGCTTGGGCCAGTAATAGACTGCAGATTCTGTGTTTGGAATACTCAGATTCTGTGATCTCTTGCCCTGATGAAATACACCCTATTGCAGTTGTAGGTCCTGATCTAGTGCTCTTTTTACCCAAATTCTTACAAGGATCATAACATGTAATCAAAGCTAAGTTATTCTGGAGATCACATCAATCACTTCCTGGTGGTGCAAGCTCAGTTACTACTCTTTGCTGATGGTTTGTTCTGAAGTGATTTTTGTAATCTGCATTAAATCATAAAACACAAATACAGCATTCTCTGAGCCCCTCATAGTGTGACTGTCTCAAAATGTTGGGATTTTTGGCAAGATTTTTCAGCTGTGACTCCATATTTAGGCCCTTTAGTTCAGGCTTTCTTTACAGTCTTGACTTGCTCTGCAAGATTCTGCATCAAACTCCAGCAAAAACCTACCAGACTTACTACATGGTCCCTCTCTCAAGAATTCCCTGGCAGTATTTAATGTTGTAGCTGTAAGATGCCACATTCCCCACTGGAGAACATGCTGAATGCTGGAGAACAGCAGCTTCAAAGTGGAGTGAAAACCTGCTGCTGTTGTGCTGCATCTGTGAGTTTTTGGCTTGTTTTGTGTGTTTCCATGGGGTTTGTGTGCTGGGACAGACAGAAACCACACAGCTCCACGTGCTGGGAAGTGATTTAAGGGCTTGAGAGTTACTAGAACCACTTAGTGAGCAGAGTTTGTGTAAGAGTAAATCAGGTGTGTCAGCACTGGTAACATGGGAATTATCCCAAGGGAATGTAGGCTTTGTCCAGCTGGGAGAGATGGTCAGATCTGGGTCACAGGGACATGGAAATCTGGCTTCATACCTCATTTATCAAAGCAGCAAGGATGGCTCCTGTGCCCTCTCTGGACAGAAGATACTTCAGGCCAGCCTGAGCACTCCTACTTGTTGTAGGAGTCAAATGATGAAACTTGGGCCAGTTTGGTGGGTGATGGTTGCTCCTCTGAAACCAATAAAGTGTGTTGGGAAGGCAAGGTGTGGTTTTGCACATTGGGACAGAGGAGCGGGTGTCAGGTGTGAGGGAACTGGCTCCAGTAGGACAAGATGGGTCAGGAAATCACCTCAGGGTTTCTCTCGGAGCTCAGGGAGTTCATACCCAGTTCAAGAAACTGCTTGAATGTCAGGTACTTACTAAACCAGAAGAGGACTTCAACTTGGCCCAGACATGGTGTGTGTGTCTGTACCATGAATTTCCCTGAGCATTTTCAGTAAAGTGGAATGTGTTTCTGGACAGCTCTTCAGGTTTTTAGTCGGTGCCTGATTTGTCAGCAGAGTGAGGAAACTCCAGTAGTTCTACAGTTGCTTTAGCCTCAGCATTGAAGGCAGTTGATATTTAAAATAAATTGAAAATCAAAAGTGTGCAGCTCTCTCGCCAATGCAGTGCAGAATGGAGTTCCAGGTACCATTATGTTGCTTCAGTGCTGCCGTTTGAGTAGAAATAAGGTTGAGAAATTAAATGTGAAACTTCCCTCCCTCACCTCATGTTCATGCTCTTGTAACTCACATCTGCTCTGCTGCTTCTAAGCAGAAGCATAGGCTGAACTTCAGCTCTTCAGTTCTGTTATTCTATTCTGCCTTGTTTTAATCTTCTGAGGAAGATTAAAAGATATTTTTACCAACGAGAGTATCTCCAAACGTCAGAATTTCTGAGAGACATCATTACCTGTGAGTCTGTCTTGTCAGATCTGTAGTTCTGTCACAGGAGCAGTTTAAACTGGGTGATTCAGACCTGGTTATTGACCAGGAGAGGGGAGGGCTCTGCATTTTAGAGAAAGGGAAAAAGGCAGAAAAAGAATGCTGTTGGTACCGGAGCATTTCTCTGCGAGAGTGTGACCTGTGGAGCAGTGTCTGACTGCTTGGAGGGGAAGGGGAGAGGGTATCATGGACTTCAAGCTGTCACAAGAGTCTTCGCACTGGCAAAATACAGCTTCCTTCCAATATGAACTTAAAGAGCACTGAGGTGAAAAGGTGCAAAGGTTCCTGTCAGAGATGTCCCTCAAAGGCACTGGTGTGGTGAGAGGGCAGCTCAGGAGGCTCAGGTCTGTCTGGGGCCAGGTGCCGGGGAAGGGAGCGCTGAACACGCAGCTGAAGGTGGGGAGCTGCACCCACGTGCACCTGTCACTGCTGACACCAATTCCAGCATCACTTTCCACAGTGCTCCATTCTGCCTCTGCCCAGGCGGGGGCTGGGTTTCTAGGGCAGCAGGAGCAGATGGAGCAGTGTGAGGGCTCTGGGAACACAGGACAATGCTCCTGCTTCAGACTGAGGAGTCACCTGCCCGGCGGTGGGAAGGCCCCAGCTGCAGCTCAGGGTTCCTCCTTCCTTCTGGCTCATTGTGTTGTTGCCTGGGAGCTTTGGGCTGAGCTTGAGAGGGAGTTTTTTTCCTCCTTTGAAGAGCTTAGGAATAAAACTGGAAAATAGTTGGTGCTGAATTTGTGCTGTAAAGGATGAAACACTATTACGGAAAAAATCAGGAATGATGTGTTGCATTTCCTTTTAGTTTACATTGCAAGGTTTATTCTACTGAAATGAATCTTTGGTGTGTGTCCCTTTTCCCTGGAATGGCAAGCAGAGCTGTGCTCCAGCTGTATTCCAGCCTCATCTCTGCTGCCTGTGTGCTTGAGCCTCTTGCTGATGCTGTGCAGCTCTGGGGTGTTCAGCTGCTGTTGGTAGCAGGGGGAAATGTTTGAATCCGACTGGGGGAGTGAGGTGTCTTCACCTGGAAGCACAACACCAGGAAGGGGCTTTGGCTGCAGCCAGATGAGGAAGCGTGGGGCTGAGCCCTGACCTGCACAAGGGCAGAGGCTCTCGCCTAAGGAATCCTCTGGGAAGAGAGATTAGTCGCTGCCCTGGGCACAGTCATCGCTGCCAGCAGCACACAGCGCGGCGCTGGCAGCCGCTGCTGCCCGGGCAGTGCGCGGAGAGCCCAGGGAGCTCCGCTCCGGGTTCTGGGGTGCTCTTTTCCCGGGCTAAGCGCAGGTTGGGTTTGAAGTCCCGTCCTGCCCGGCTCTGACTGTCGCTTGTGTGTTCCTTGCAGGCACCCAGGGCGTGGCGCCGCCGCCGCCCGCGCCCGTGGTGGGGCTGCAGACTCCGTCCACGGGGCTG